CTAGGACCTGATGGCTTCCCAAACTTCTTTTTCCAACATTATTGGGATATAGTGTAGAGTACAGTGACAAAAGTAATGGAAGAATTCTTTCAAACTGGGATCCTACATAAGAAACTTAACAATGCATTTATTGCCTTGATTCCTAAATGCAATAGGCCAAAAATCCCTAGTCAAATTAGACCCATCAACCTATGCAATATAGTCTATAAAAATAATTTCAAAAATCTTAGTCAATATGATAAAGCCCATTTTGCCCCAAATCATAAGTCAGAACTAGAAAGCATTTCTGCCGGGTAGGCTTATATTTGATAATATCTTAATCACCATGAGATAATTCACTTTATGAGGACAACTAGGCAAAGGCAAGGGTACATGACAATTAAACTAGATATGAATAAGGCCTACAATAGGGTGGAGTGTTAAATTGGTCATAGAGATGTTTGGATTTAATCATAAATTTATAGGATGGATTATATAGTGTATCACCTCTGCCACCTGCCAAATTTTGGTGAATGAAAGCCCTAACAAAATAATCAACCCTTCTAGAGGCCTTAGATAGGATGATCCCTTGTGCCCTTACCTACTTCTCCTTTGCCTTGAAGTTTTATCAATGGCTCTGATTCATTTACAATATAAAGGTGCTATCTCTAATATCCAAATTAATAATTCTTGTCCTGTAATTACCCATCTCTTTTTCATAGATGATTCGTACATCTTCTCCAAAGCCAACATAGTTGAAGGTGGAATTATAGTGGAGATCTTGAAGCAATATGGGCAGGTCTCAGGCCAAAAGGTTAACTTTTCAAAATTCAAGGTTTTTTTAGCCCAAGAATTCTTAATAAATTCAAGAAAATAATATCAAGGGTTCTTAAAGTGAAGGTAGTAGCTAAACCCACCTCTTACCTAGGGTTCCCTCCAATCATGGGTAAATAAAAAAAAAAAGAGCTTTTCAATTTTTTACTAGATAGATTTGAACAAAAAACAAATAATTGAAAGTTTTTAGTTTGTCTTTGGCTGGAAAGGAGGTTTTAATAAAATTTGTTCTAACCTCAATTCCAACTTACACCATGTCCTGCACTCCTACTACCTAATCTCTATGGATATTTGTCATTAAATTGCAAGACATCAAAGAAGACTTTTTTGGGGTGAGACCTCTCAAAAGAGGAAGGTTAACTGGGTCAGTTGGAAGACCTCTTGTAAGAGCAAATTCAATGGAAGGTTGGGATTCTGAGATCCTCATGCCTTTAAAGGTTTGTGGTGAACAAATCTTGTCTGTGGTCTAGAGTGCTAGAAGGTAAATACTAAAAGATTTAGGTCTATCAAAGCTCTCTCAAACTATTCTTAGGGGTTCAGAAGCTTGCTTGCAAGGAGGGATATCTTAAAAGAAGGAGCCTATTGGAAGATGGCAACTAGATAGAATGTTGATACCTTAGAAGACCCTTGGATCCTTGAAGTTCCTTTCTATAAACCAATTGGACCTTATATGGCCTCGAGTTATGGGGTGAAAGTGGCAGATTTAATAGATCTAGTTTTCAATACTTGGAAAATTGAGAATATTTCCTCTATGCTTGAAGAGATGTTAGTTGAGAAAATCTACTCTCTAGACCTTCCTTTGTTTGGTGGTGCGGATAGGCTTATGTGTCTCCCATATTCTAAGGGGCAGTTTTCTATAAAATCAACTTATCAGTCAGTGTTGCAGTTATCTTTGACCAATAATAATGGCTTCAATCACTATGTTCTAACTTCAACTACCTGGAAGAAAACCTGGTAGTTGAACATACCCCCAAAACTGAAATCATTTTTATGGAGTTGCTACATTAATAGCCTTGCCGTGAACCGGATAAAAGAAGAATTGAACAAGTTCACCTATGCCCTTTGTGCTCTAAGGATTCAAAGTCAACTATGTTTGCTCTTTTTCAATGCAGCAATGCTTGAGCTATATCCAGTTCGGCTCTCCTTTAGGTTTAACTTTCAAAGATATCCCTATGTTCTCTTCCTTTGCTCAGTGGTGGGGTTAGTGGTTAGAACAGGAAATAAAAAACAATGTAGTGGAGCTTAATATGATTACTTTTTCTGTTTATCTGTTGTGGTACATTTGGAAGGCTAGAAATTGTTTTGTTTTTAATGATTTAATTCCTAACCCTAAGTCTTTCAGTTGTCATTGCCATCAGGTGGATGGAGGAAGTAATGAAAGCTTCCCTTCAAGGATAAACTGATTCTCCTCTTAGTGTGGTCCCGGGTGAGGCTCCTACGTTTTGGTCTCCACCAAATGGTTCGATTGTTAAAGTTAATATAGGTGGAAGTTTCTATTGAAACCATAGTGGGTTTGGTTTTTTGTTTAGAAATGTTGTTGGAGTTTTTTTTGGAAAGTGTGGTGTTTGCAAGGTGGTTTCTCCTCTTTTTGCTAAAACTTTTGCTATCAGAGAAAGTTGTTTAGCTGCTAGATAGTTGGGATTTGTGTCTATATATATATATATATATATTTTTAAAGTGACAATCTGCCTCTTGTAAAAGTGTTATCTTCAAAATCTTTTGATATTCACCCACAGGTGTGGCATCTTTCAGAAGATATTTATAAGTTGATCAATGATGCAATTGTATTTAGTTTTGTGTGCAGAGAGGTTAATAGCTCGGCTCACGCTTTGGCTGCAAAAGGTGTTGTTGGGTTAGAAGAAAGTTGGTCTTGCCCAACCTCTTTCTTAACTTCCCACTTTGTCTGGGGGTTCGTCCTTTTCTTAGTTTTGGGTTTACTTTTTTTTTTTTTTAGTTTTTCCTTTGTTGTCTTTCTTTATCTCATTTATTACCTAAAAAAAAGATCTACCCAACTTGAGCTCAACCTCCAACCTGCATTGAAATTTGATGCACTTGGGTTAGTCTTGGGCTTGGGTTTGTTAATTAGTCCCATGACAAAATTTGACATAAAATGTAAGTGTATAGTTGTATATACATGCATGTATTCAAATATGTGCTATATATGTATTTATGATTGCATGTATATAATTAGGCATGACTTTAGTTACCTAAGAGCTAGGCTTGAACCCAAGTCGAGGACTGAAAATCAAAGCTACCTTGTCCAAGATTACAAGTTGGGTTGATTCACGCTTAAGTTAATCCCACCTAATTTGCCTCCTTATGGACAATTAATCATCAATTAGATGCAAAAACTGTTTTTCAAGTTAGTTTGGTTTTAATTATATTTCTATCATTAATAAAAATAACTTTTATCTATCACACTTATAATTGTTTAATATGATGAATACATAATATTAGAGATGCACCCAAATGTTTTTATTCAAAATTTTTTATGCTTTTAATAATTTTTGTGTCTCTGTCTTTTTAAATTTTTATTATTTATTTATGATATCATGGGTTGATCCATTTAACATAAAAGGTTGAACCATTAACCAACCACTTGAATAGGAAAATGGTTTTGCTTTTGGGTCAACTTTAAATCTTGTATTTCATTCCATTGAATATAAATACTTTTATTTAGCATATGCTTATTGCTGTTTGATATGATAAATAGATAATATTAGAATGTGCCTATATTTTTTCATATTTTTTTTATAATTTTTGTAATATTTATATTTATATTTATTTTTAAGTTTTTACTATTAAATATAAGAACATTGGTTGACCCGTTTGATGCAGATGGTTGAAATATTTACTTGCCACTAAGACAAAAAGGTGGTTTATTTAATTATTTTTCATATTGGTTTTGAGCATAAGTTTTATATTATTAAAAGTATTGGATATAGATTTAATTTGTATAATTTATTGATGAGAAACAACAATACTTCAAATAAAGTATTTTAAGGAGAGAGAATGAAAGTTAATACCTTAGTGGGAGAGATTTAATGAAGTGAAAAGTAATAATACTTTAAATTACATTTTTTGTCCACACAATTAAAGAGGAATTAAATTCATAAATAGAGGCATTTTAGTAAAACATAATTCATAAAACTCATTTATTTAATGTGCCTTAAATATAAAAATTAATAAAAAAAATGAGAGTTAATACTTTAGGAATTTATTGATAGGGAATATAACGAATTTAATGAAATTAGTAGTCCAAATTATGTTTTTTGTTTTCATAATACAGCGAGATCAAGTTAAAAGAAATAAGGGTATTTTAATATAAAAATTCTAAAATCTACACCCCATCCACACTTTTAGTATAATATAAATATAAATTTGTGCATAATATGACTTAGAAATCAAAACATGGCATCAACAGATCAAAGGATTCATGTGAATCCAAGGGAGCTACGAGTCTGTATTCCGCCGCTACATCGAAATAAACACGGCCTAAAGGTTTTTCTCTTTTTTTTTTGTTTTTTTGGATAATAAAAACAGTAATTTATAATACATAGATGGGACCCAATCAATTTGGTCTTGATCTTGATAACTGGAAGTCTGGAACAGGTGGCAAGTTATTGGGACCCAGACCCTCCATAGACTCCAAGATTACCCATCAAGAAAACGTACTTGATCGACAGTGTTCCAGCACTACAGGGACATGGAAATTTCATAGACCACATCCTACGGGAGAGATCTCTCCCTGTTATGAATGGTCCCACATGCTATGGATTGATGATGGTATTGTGTTAATGTGGTTTGGTTGTACCAGAAACACTCACCATGGTCCCTTGCCCCTTGTTGGGCACCAAATGCAACTCTGCTGGAGAGAAAGCAGAAAACCTTTTGTGGTCCTAGTCTTGCACACAGTAACATAAGTCTATAGGCCTGAACCAGTTAATCCTCCAAAGTGGACCCACCCATTATTAGTCCCCACTCCCAGTCCCCACACGCTACATATGTTCCAACTCAATTCCCAACCTCTTATAGACAGCCATTACTGTATGAAATACCCTCCCTAACTAACTCCATGATCCCCAACTGCTTCACTGTTGTTGGGTTCCTCCAACGGTTCCATCTGAATTTCCTCTATTTAATCAGCCAAGCTAGCACTCATTTGCATTCTCATCCAAACACATCCACTCGTCCATCACATTTCGGAGACTAGAAACAATCACATATCAAGATGTTTTCCGAGCATGAGTTCTCGTCGGCCTCCCTTCTGATGCTAGTTGCCATGGTGCAGCTGGTGAGGATCGCAGCTGCAGCTGGTGGTGCCGCCACTGCCGCCGCTGCCGGTGCCGGAGAACCCACCCTGGAGTTGTACATGCATGACATCCTGGGTGGTAGCAGTCCCACAGCTAGGCCAATAACTGGCTTACTAGGAAACATCTACAGTGGTCAAGTGCCCTTTGCTAGGCCAGTAGGATTCATTCCACCCAAGAATGGTGTCCCAATCCCAAATGCCAATGGTGCAATACCAACTGTGAATGTCAATGGTGTCCCTCTAGGCACTGGTCTGGCTGGCACAACCTTTTCTGCAAATGGTCAAGCCATCAATGGTCAGAACGGGGCCCAACTGGGACCAGATGGTCTGGGACTGGGCTTTGGGACAATAACAGTAATTGATGACATCCTCACATCTGGGCCTGAATTGGGCTCACAGTCAATTGGAAAAGCCCAGGGAGTGTATGTAGCAAGCTCTGCTGATGGAACCACACAAATGATGGCATTCACAGCCATGCTAGAGGGTGGGGAATATGGTGATACTGTTAATCTCTTTGGGGTTTACAAGGTTCAAAGTGCCATGTCTCGTTTATCGGTGACTGGCGGGACTGGAAAGTTCAAGAATGCCTGCGGATTTGCCGAGGTCCGGTCGCTAGTCCCGTCCGGTCAGAGTGTCACTGGTGGAGCAGAGACATTGCTCAGAATCACAGTCCATCTCACCTACTGAATCTGCTCCTGGAGATGGAAAAGCACATGTGGGTGTTTGTTTGTTTTGTCTGGAAATGAATGTGAGATGATCAAATGGTTTCTTTAATCTTGTGATTGTTGAGTGAAGTAACATTTAAAAGTGTATCAGCTGTTGTAATTGTAATCCTGTCTAGAAACATATTGAAGTGATTTCTCTTGATCAAACTGTGGTATGTTATTCTCAGTGCATGTCCATCCAGAAAGTCCATGGATAAACCTATTGATCCATATTGGTTGAGGATCCTGATATAGAAATCATTGTCATCATCATAAATCCTGTTTCGCCTGTTTGAGGGATACCCTAACATGACTATAAGAATTTGGCAAAGGTTTTAGTATCTGGATAGCTTAAAACCAATAAACAACAAAAGGAACTACAGTAACCGCACATTGGAGATGAACAAGTTAACAACAGAAGAAGGTGAAGGTGGAACCATAATCATATACCAATTAGTTTCCTCTATTTTCATCTTTTTTTGTCTTCCTCATGTTTTTATTTATTCATTTTTTCTCTCATCCTCTTCTCTAGTTCATCAGAAACATTCTGTTCTTAGATGAAAGAGGTGCTTGTTCTTCATGAGGAACCCAATTTATCTTATTCTCTTTCTCAAGATATTCTTCATTAAAAAAAGGGAAAAAGTACTTTCTATTCAAGGGGAATGGTGTAGGTAGTAGACTCTTATTTATGAAGAGAGAACATCCTAAGCATGATTCAAATATCACATCTTTCGGAAGAAAGAAAAGCCCCCTCTAATGACCTTTTATAATCATTATTTGAGTTTCCACTAGAGATGTAGCCATTTTATCAAAAAATAAAATGTGCCCAAATAAAGTGGGTAAAAGAAGACGGTTTGAAAGATTGAAAACAAGTTGTCATCTCAGTGGAACCCACTTTTTTTTTTATCTATTTTGTTTAACTTTTGCTAACTTAACATATGCTACCTATTATTGAAAATAAAAACCAAATTAAGATTCCAGAATTACTTTTCACTGTTTTCATATTGTAAAAATGAAAACAGTTTCAAGTAAGGTTGAACAATTCTCTTATGTAGAGAGGTGTTTTCTCCTCTCTACACATAATTTTAAGTGTTGTCAAACAGTTCTTCAAGTAAGGTCCGTGAGAAAATGTCAAAATAACGTTTATTGTAATATTTGCTCCTTTTTGTTTGACATTTGGCACCAAATAACAAAAAAAAAAAATGTGCTCAAAACTTGAAGTACTACCACATATGGCCTAATTAGGACAGCCCTTTTTTCTTGAAAACTACCTCAAGAAAACCACATTAGCAAACACCACCTTCATGAAAGGGCACTTCCTGTCAAGAAAATGCCCTTCTTTTATAAAGCCACGAGAATTTTGTAGCCAATTGAAACGGATGAAAACCCAAATACGAGGATCAGAGTATCAGACTACCCTCTCATCGGCATCAAATACACATCCTTGGCCAAGATTCAAAGTTCAAACCAGAACTCCACCCATTACAAAGTTTGAAAACTGAAAAACCTTTTTCCTTGGCTTAATAAACTGCCACCGGATTGAAACTGAACATCTACAATGGACAAGTATTGAACTTACTCCAATACTAAAGCACATAACACAAACGTTAGACAGCAATTCTATCTTGGTCACTGATCATCGTCATCATCATCCATGCCTTATCCCAAATATATGGGGTTGAATACTGATCAGAATACAATTCTACTATTCGCTTCCAAGTCCCAACAGAAAGGTTACTAGTCCACACTTCCCACTCAAGAGCTGCATAAAAGGATTTAAGTTAACCAAGGAAATTTGAGAAGAGTTTCAGATTCCATATCCTTATATGGAACTCAGAGATGGTTGCTTTCTTAACTCAGACCAGTTTTTTTTTTTTTTTTTATCAATAACAGTAAATTTTATTAATAATTGAGAACTTAGGAAGTTACATAGAAAAGGAGCTAAAGGATCTTAACTCCCTACTATACCAATGTACACCCAAACCATGAAAAACTTACAACAGCCCAAAAGAGAGTTTTTGTTCACCCCTTGTCTAGCTAGTCCATCTGCCAAGGAATTTGCACTTCTTTTTATCCATGTGCAATGAACTTTGATGTCCTTGGTCAGCCACTTAAACTTCTGCTTTTCATTGTTGTAAATCCAGAGCTTAGAGCTATCCTCTTTTAGCCAATTCACCACAATTTCAGAATCACCTTCTATGATCAGTTTTTTAATATGCATGTCCTTAGCCCTTTGGATCCCTTCAAGAGCTCCTAGAATCTCAGCCCTCAAAGAATCGTCCACCCCAATTGGACCGGAATACATAGCTAACAAGTTCCCTTTTTCATCTCTTATCACTCCCCCTATTCCGGAAGGCCCTGTATTCATGCTGCTGCCATCAAAATTCAGTTTGGTAAACCCTTGAGGTGGAGGTGTCCAACAAGAACTTGAGGTCTTCTTATCTCAGACCAGTTGAAACA